GGGAGCCACAGGAACCAGGAGAGTCAGAGGACCAGGACGGGCAGGTGAGTAGACAGCAGGTGAGATGACCGGAGGGACACGGGAACCAAAGGACCAGGAGATGTAAAGCAGCAGGCAGTCTGATAAGCAGAGTAACAGTCGCCATCAGGGTACGCACAGTAGCAAAGATTGTTGCCAGGTAATCACAGCAGGGAAGATCGCCAACTTGTGTGGCCACATCGAACATAAAAACTTGGTCTCACAGTCAATGTCATTGTTAATGGAATCAATGATCTGGTGACGAAGGAGCATCTGCCAAGGCTCTAAGTAGGGACGGTCAGGTAATCAGGGGATGAGCCTCAGCTGTGCGTCACACCCAGAGACTGGATTAGCAGGTGTCTCAGCTGTGTTGAACGAGGAGCCCCAGGGCGGCCAGCAGTAGAGTCAGAGACATCATCACGGTGCTGCCGGTGTGTCAGTGGCTCTGAAAGGCCTGGACAGCCACTGATCAACACTGGCCTCTTAACAGCTGGGAGCACAGAGGCAGGACACATATGCAAACACACACAGTGGCTCAGCTTCAGGACTCACGACAAATCATTCAGACATAATGGAGTGAAAATCTGCTGGTGAGAAACTGAATCTCAAGAAGCAGTTAGAAAAGCTGCTGAGAACTTTCAGGTTTTAAGCATTTTCAGTCTCTGACAATGGTTGATAATTTCATTCAACAATGTACAAAATGTGAATTAAAAAGGCCCAAATCCAATCTGTGTTTATGTCTAAATATTGAGGTTTTGATATTAAATGTTAAGACAGTTGGTCTGGAAGTGGAATCAAAACCATGATAAAACAAGAAACTGAAAAAAAAGGAAAGATGGGAATAGTTTTTGTAGATATTTATCAACTCAGAAAAGTGTTTCCATCTTTATAAAAGATCTGTTTTAAGTTAACATCAGGGACATACTTGAACTTTTCTCAGTCTGATGGATCCTAAGCAGAGTGAGGATCTAGGCAGCGTGCTTTAAATTGTTATTGATTAAAAACTTAAAACAGGGAAAAGAAAGAAAGTGTGCTGTTTAAAAAGATGTCACTGACACATAATCTGAGTTTATCACGGTTTGAATTCCAAGATGCCTGCAATGGAAATGGACAGACGAGAGAGAAAAGAAAAGAAAAACAACAAGACACAACAAACAAATACTGGGCAGGTTGATGTGGCCGGTGACTGCTCATCAGAAACATAGAGCTCCAGAGCCAGGGCAACCTGTATAAAGGTACAGGGAGAGAGAGAGGACACACAGGTAGTGATGTGTAATGGTGGCATATAAACAGGTGGAGGTTATGGTGGTGTTGGGGTGGAGGTGGGTTGTGTAATTGTAGCTCTGGGAGACAAGTGGGAAACAATATTTAAAGAACAGCAGCCAGTGACTGATTGGCTCGAGCAACACAGGCAGATAGATCATTGGTCAGATAAGGTGACGTCAGGATAGAAGGTGGAAGAACATTTGACAGTGTGAGAAAACAGATGACAGAGAGAAAGTGACAAGAATTAACAGTCCAGGTCAAACTACTGTGGACAAGCAGAATGTGAGGGGACACGTCTTTACTGAACGTTTGTGTAAAATTCAGATAATGTTTAACAGTATTTTCAGATGGAGGAAATCAGGTTATAAAACACAGAGTTATTGAGAAATTGGGTTATTGCCTAATGATTCTTTATGAGCTTATTTATATTAATATAGATGTAACTGATTATAGCAGATACAGTGATTGACTTGTATATTGTTTTACTAACTCAGAGAGGGACAGATAGAAAGAGCCTTTGCTGTTTTTAAGAAGTTTAACGTCATTGTCAGAATTATTTATTTGTTGATTTGTTGAACAACTGACAGTACATAGAGATAGAAGCTGGCTTGTTATGGTGGCGCCAGGTTAATGATGTGTAGATGTCATCCTATGACAGATGTGTTTGCTTGACACCTTTTGATGAGGTGCGCATAGTTGTAAGACAAAGTGATATGTTGTCTATAATGTTTTATTACACTAATTGTGTGACATGTTTATGAAGTTTGGAGGTGTCATTAAGCAGAGATGTGTCATAAAGGTATTGTGTGCTCATTCTTAGTGTCAGTCATCATGTGGTATGCAGCCATTATGTCACTCATATGTTCAGTAGCTTCTAGCTGTAGCAGTCACTTCAGTTTTTGTTCAGTCTGACTGAGGGAGGTTTTTGTATGACGCTTTTTCACCGTGTGAACACATACTAACTGTTGATAACATGGAAACTCTGACAGTAGTAAACTGCTGCATCTTGAGCCTGGACTCCACTGATGGTCAGAGTGAAGTCAGAGTTTGATCCACCATCATTAAAACGACTTTGAGTCCCTGACACTCGATTGTTAACATAGTAAAAGAGCAGGCTGGGGGTTTCTCCATTTTTCTGCTGGTACCAGGCTAAATAGTTCCCATTATTACTGTAACAGCTTGACTGGTCTTACAGTTGAAGGTGACGGAGGCTCCCAGAGCAGAGCTGACAGCTCCAGGCTGAGTCACCGTGACCTGGCCTCTGGACTCTGAGGACACAGAGACAAACACATAAAGCAGCGTCGTGGTTTTGTCAGCTTCATTTCAGAGGGACGGATGTTCATAGAGGAGAGGAGCTGGATTCTCTGGACTTTACCTGTGAAGCAGCAGCAGAGGAGAGTCCAGATGAGGACGGAGATCAGAGTCATGTTTCTGATGAGGAGGATTTCTGTGGCTCCTGTTGTCATGAAGGACAGCTGTCAGTCCTCCAGGGTTCAACTCTCAGGACTATAAACTCTCCCAGAGCACTGGAGCATGGTGCTGCTGATGCAAAGTGGCTCTATGGAAATGCTCTGACTGACTCCAGCAGGGACTGGGATCCCTCTGGTCAGTCTGGGGATCAATGGATCAATCAGTTTGTCAGGGGATTGATTAGATATGAGTATAGGGGTTCTGCCTATTGACTCATTTTCTTTGGAACAAACACTGTATGTTATTAATATTCGTTTCATTAATACACAAAGATAAAATAGTTGCATTTTCTTCCAGAGACCTTCAGTGGTTTTCAGACTGATTTTTCTCCTACAGTCACTCCTCTTCTACTTATAATAATCACCTTTGGTAACATCCAGAGGGAAACCATTTCTGCTGAAACTCACTGAGCTCTCTGGTCTTAGTATCACTGCCCTGGAACAAGATCCATATTTTGTTTATCAAAATATAAATTATTAATGATTTCCAGGATTAGAAATAAAAAGCAATGTATCATCAGCATAAAGTAATTTAACATGAATTTGATTTTAGATTTTAAACCAAAGTCTGCAAGGAAAAGGAAAGTGATTCAATGGTTTTCAGAGAGTTTTATTCCCATTTGGTAATACAACCTATGTTAACAGTGATTAGAAGTATTAATATTAATGCAGGTTTGTTAGGTTTATGTGTTTATAAAGTGGAGAATCTACCGAGTAAAGCAGTGATGAAGGATGAGTTGGTGCTGAGGCCGAGGAT